CTGGCCTGGGCTCAGCAGTTTGCTGGCATTCGGAGCAGGAAGGTGTCACCCCGACACTCACCACCCCCCCAGCTGATTGGCTTCATCGGATGGCCAGGCCAGCTTGCACTACACCACGTAGAGGTCACTGTCAGCCCCTGCCTGTACCTTCGGGGCGAAAAGAAGGCTGGGGACCCCTAATCGCCCCTGCCTTGACTTGAGCATCTAGCAGATTAAACGATATGAAATTGCCCTCCTTGTAGGTCACAATGGTCCGATATTCGTTGTCCCACGTGGTTCAGCCTAATTACCATAGGGCCAGCTCTTCAGATGTATCTTCTCACTAATCCCCCCTCTTGGCCCCACGAGGCAGGTAAAATGTCCACTTTGTTTCAGAAATTGAGGTTCAGAGAGGTTAAGTGACTTGCCCGAGGAAGTACTCAGACCCTGGTCTATCTGACTGCAACACCCAGGGCCGTGAGTCACATCCTATTTCAAGGCGGACCCCGTCCCACCTGTCCCCACGCTCACTCATTCATGAGCCGTGCTTCCAGCTGTTGCCCTGCCAACGAGCTCCCCGACAGAAGGCTCCTCGGCAGGCTGAGTGGGGGGCCCGACCGAACCGCCGGGGAGGCTGCGTGTGCAGGACTCGTGCCATACCAGCCTTCCTCGGCCGCTGCAGGCCTGGCTCCCCCCGCCTCGGCTCCCCCCACCCTGGGCCTGCCTGCATTGCTGCCATGCAGGGCTGCAGGGGCCACACACCGGCAAGGCCTTGGTGCACAAACATCGCTTCTACCGTTTGGCAATCAGATCAGCTCGGTCCTTCCAAACCAGAACTTGTTTTAGAAAAAAACGTGCCCGGGCGCCTGGGTGGCTCAGTTGGTTGAGCGACTGCCTTCGGCTCAGCTCATGATCCTGGAGTCCCGGGATCGAGTCCCGCATCGGGCTCCCTGCTCGGCGGGGAGTCTGCTTCTCTCTCTGAACCTCCCTCCTCTAATGCTCTCTATCTCATTCTCTCTCTCAAATAAATAAATAAATAAATAATCTTTAAAAAAGAAAAAAACGTGCCCAACGCAGTCACCCCATGACCCAGGCCTGCCCCTGGAGATTAGGTAGCAGAGAGACGGTAAAGTCTGACACTGCCACTTACCGGCTGGGGGGACTTGGGTGACTCTTTGAACCTCAGTTTCTTCATCTGTAAAATGGCATCTCTTTTTAGGGCGGTAGTAAGGATTAGATGGGATCATTCCAATGTGCTTGGCCTTGGAATGCTTGGAACACTGCCTAGCACACAGTCAGGACACAATCAATGCTGATTGGCATTCTTACTATTCCCAGCCCAAGCTAAGTCCGCAATTTTGCCTCCCCCTGCCTCATTCGTGGGGCAAGCCCTGTCTAGCATTGTGCCAGGAATTGTTAGGATAGCAGGTCCTAAGTGGGGCCCCAACTGAGGCTTCAGAGTGCCAAGAGCTCAGGGGTTCAGTAGGGGAGAGCGAATCCTACGCCAGCAATGGCTCTTTAGGGCAGACATCTTTAAAAGGGGGAAGGCTTCCTGGAGGAGGTGTGGCCTGAGTTACATCCTGACGGAGCCCGAGGAGACAGCCAATGAAGAGGCTGGAAAGCACTTGCTTGGAAGCACAGGAGCGAGGTGTGTTTGAGTCTCCTGGGGCAAAGGGTCTGGGGCGAGGAGGTTAAAAGGTGAGGTCTGCAGGGGTGGATGCTAAAAAGCCAGCCACTGGGACTGGAGGAAAGCAGACCACGGAGGCACCACAAGGCCCTGAACTGAGTCATACGAGTGGAGTCCGAGAAGTGAACGTGGGTGAGAGGGATTTGCATTTTCTAATTACAGACTGAATAAGGCAGGGAGGATGGGATTTGGTTATTTCACGATGGCAGCCAGGGAGATGAGAGAACCCAGGTTTCTGGTTGCGGCTGAGGTAGCCACAGGTGAGGGGAGATAAGGCTGCCAGAGTGATGGGGCTGCCCAGGGAGAGGACAGAACCCTGTAAGACACCCCAAAATGTGAGGGATGAGCTGAGAGACAAAGGAGAAGAACCGGCAGCCGGAAAGCTTTCTTCCAATGGGGGCACATTTACTGCCCTCCACTAATCCAATCCCCAGCTGTTCTGGAAGCCCGGCCTCCTCTGCGAGGCCCAGGTGGTCCAGAGTACTGGCCGCACTCCCCTGTCGTGCGTGTTGTCCTCCAGCGTCCCCCGAGGGCAGGTGCCCCCCACAGCAGTCCTGGCACGTGGATGGTATTCACGGGGAGGACTGCAGGGGATGACCACCGTGGCCAGGAGAGGAGTGTCGGCTACCAGCAAACCCCCGGCTTCCCCTAAACATTCCTCTCTCCCTGCCCACCCACAGCCAGCCATGCCACCGGGAGCCACTCGCCCCCACCCCAATTCCTGCCTCCCGGGGCTGCAAGTCAAGTCCAGACAACACAGGACGGCAGCTTTCTGCCTCCCGAATCAGACGCCCTGCTGTTCGGGCGGGTGGCATCGTGGGGGCCCACCTTCTCCTGATCTTGAGTTTCGGAGCTGTCACCACACAGGATTCCATCAAATAAACATCTCCACAGGGACCAAGAACGAAGATCACCCAACCCTGGAGTCAGATCCTGAGCTCTGGAAGTGCAGCCTCCCTAAGTGACCTTAGGAAAGTCTTTTAACTTCTCCCACATTTTTGCAGAGGGGTCCTAGTGAGGATTAAGTAATTCCCTTAAATGCTTAGCTTAGCATCACGCCTGGCACCTGGTTTCGCATCCAGTAAGTGGCAATTACTATTATTAAAGTGCTTCCTGCAGGCCGATGCAAGTCAAAGCAAACGAAAATGGCTTTGCGGGCTCCCTAACACCTCCCACCCCCACCCCTCCTCCACCACTACCACCCTGGAGTTAATTAAAACCCTCCTTGGGTGTTTTCCAGACAATGGAATTTTACACTTATTCTTGGTTGCAGAATAGAATGGAGGAGGGTTTCACTTCAACTGATAAAAAAGCAAAAAGCTGCTTGGAGAGGTAGTGAGCTCCCCATCACCTCATGTGAACAAGCTGGCCCAGACCATCTGGCACTCATGCTCAAGCATCAATGAACATGCATTAGTATTTCTCACTACACAACTGTAATTCTCTTAAATGAGCCGGCGATGCCAGTAGGCTGTAGGGCTTTGTGTCATCATTTGGCAAAATAAAGTATTGATAATCCTACTTTGGCCCTCCATAAAGGTTTTTTAAAATTGTATCATGTATCGGTTTGTGATATCCAAAATGTTTTGGGTTGTTTTTTTTTTTTT